TCATCAAAATTAAAAGAAATAAACATTTGAAATATATCAGTCTGTGTATAATGAATGCATATAATAGACAAGTTTCACTTTTTTAATGGAATTAGTGAAATAAATCAACTTTTTGATGATATTCTAATTATATGACCAGCACCTGTAGTTCTATCAAGGGTGAGTCCATTATCTCTTTTTTGGTAAGACACAGATCGCTTTGTGGACAAAAATCACAAGTGACACTGTGTATGACAAAACTGACTTGTATATAAGACGTATAAATAAATACATAATGTACACTCACACTAAATATAAGCCACAACACTCACTGAGGTCACCTTTTCAGGGGTTTAACAGATGCCATAGTTGGGTCAATCTGACATTCACTCAGACTAACTTACAGCAACAACATGCACCTGGTAACATCACTGTGAAAGCAGCTACAGCAAACTCATTGTTGATGTAGAGCACATTTGTAGGAATCTGACAATTCATTATTTAACTATTGAACTCACACGGCGTGTAGTTGTTATCACATCTGAAACAACCAACAAACGTTACAGTTAGCTATTAGCTAGACAAAGAGGAAATATACCAGAATTATTCGCAATGTACTATTAGGCGGTTGTCAGAAAACACGAATACAACCGTTTCGCCCAAAGTACAGCAAAAAATTAGCCAGCATTACTCGCCAGAGGACATAAAACAATCCCCCTCACAGAAGGCAAACTAGCGTTAACGTTAGCTTGCTAAATTAGCAACACGAGCTCCAGGAATATGAGGAAGGATACAAGTGGTGCTAGTTTGTCTAATTCTGTGGTTAGCGTGTATTTCCTGCTTTATAAAATGTATTATAATTGTGCATTATACGGTAGCTTTGCACACAAATCCGTTTTAGCTAGCTAACAGTGCCACCCTACGTAGCATCATAGCTAACGGCTTCAGTCTTACGTTAGCTTGGGTCTTAACTTAGTCCAGTAAACCGGCTTTAGTTCAGCAGCTAGCTAGCCTACCTTTGGTGTGAAAATAATTCAATTGTTTTTCACAAACAGTTAAGACATTTGATTTGACAACACTTACCTAAAATCTTGGTTAATACAGAAACCGTTGTTTGCCGACTGGAGGTATCTCGTAAACTGGTCCGTTCGGTTAATGCACTTAAACATACTTTGCACCCATAAAAAACAAACCTTGGCTTTTACAGCGCCATATTTAAATAGACAAAAGCAATCACACACCGAAAAGAGCGTAATTCAACATGGCACGTTATCAATTCTGCGATGATATCAGCGGCTGGTCCATGTGATAACGACAATAGATATTGATTAGGCAGTCAAAGTTCAAATGACTGGCATGCAGCAAAATATCTAGCACATTTCTGAAATTGTGTTGTGTCATTGGTTCTGATATCGATTAGGAGCCCTGCGCGTGGATTTTTGTTCAGCGTATCGTATTGGTTTAAGAGCCCCGTCATACGCATTTCAACTGTAGATACACATCATTGAGAAATTAACACAACTGATGCAAAATTGTCAAATAAATAGATTAAAATACTGCACGCAATTCATCGCCTCTCCTTAACTAAATGGGCATAAGATGTAGTTAACTGGTGATGCAGAAATTGTATCAATAGTAAAGTTAGAGATGCCTGAAATGAATTAACTTGAAATCTGTAAAGAGACTGTAACATCCACAAACCTTTGCAAATTACTCCACTACACATGTCAAAATGTAAATGAATACTGAGCCAATAATACATTATACATTATACTACATTACTACATTTTTTTCTTTGTTTTTTAAGGCATTGCGATCGACAAATATGTTGCTTTGTTTGTACCGTGGGAATGGGTAAATTACACATGCAATAAAATGAAATTGATTAACTTTGGACATTCAAGCCAAGACCATTTGTACATCACACCACAATTAGATATGAAAAAAATAAATCGGCTACTTTTACTATATTTTTGACAAATAAAATAACTGCAGGCTATTTTGATTTCTTTCTAAATACTCTTTTCTTAATTTTATGCACGCAATATGTAGCTTACTTTCCCTTTAACATTAACACTGATAACATAAACTAAAAATGTTCTGCAGATGTACTCTTTGAATTTACGTGCGTGTGCTGTGGGTTGTAGTTATACCCACTGAAATTGCTGACATCACGCAGCCACTAGATGGCGACCTTCACTTGTTCAACAAAATTCACTACTAGAACCTAATCACACCACTCACCTCACTGCTGTAATGGTTTCGTCCCTCTTTTTATTAATAGGCCTTATGACTACACACAGGTTATCATTATATTAACTTTTAAGAAAAGACAGCGTGGGCCTATACAGCAGGATGGTTCAGCCTGGTTGGCAAAATCCCAATGAATTTCCACCTCAGCAGGTTGTTTGGAGAGTCCTCGTGGCTTGTGATTGCCATGCGGTGAAGGAAGAACTGGTGTCGGGAGTGACATTACATGGGACCCTCTCTGCTCCACCTCTTTTAATCATTACCCACCACCTCAGTCAATCACTCTAAAGTGGACAGTGAGAGGGTTCAGATCACCAGAGAACCTGAAGCACAATGGACGAATCAACAGGCAGGCCAACCAAGAAAAAAGTAGTGGTGGTGGGCGGTGGTCTGGTAAGAAAAGAAAATTAAAGTTAATTATGAAATTAATTGTATGTCTTGCCTTTTGATCTGTTGTATTGACCCGTACTCTTTAGCCTTTAGTTTAGCCTTTAATATTGTTTATTAAGAGATCATTTGTTTTGTGTGAAAGTGTAAAGCACTGATGTTCAAAGAAATGTCCTTACTCCCCTTCACCATTTAGGTTGGGGCACTGAATGCCTGCTTCTTTGCCAAAAGAGGCTTCGATGTGGAAGTCTTTGAAACCCGGGAAGGTAGTATTCAAATTTCTATTTTTAAGAAATGAACATTGTTACATCATGCCTCTCTCTGAGGAACAGACCCCTTGCATAAAATGTACGATAATCCTGACCAGTGTACACACACGGGTTAAAAAAGCGCATAATTTTCAACAGATAATCAAAATTTCCCAAAAGGTCAAATGAACACTTTCTGTCTGATTTTGGCCAGATATCCGGCAAGCCAAAGTAGTGAAGGGAAGAAGCATCAACCTGGCTTTGTCTCACAGGGGCCGGCAAGCACTGAAGCAGGTTGGGATGGAGGACAAGGTACGCTGATCAAATAGATTCAATGTTTGATCTAAAAGATATCACATTAGTTGCATAAACATGTGCGGCTCATCCACTATTCCCACCCCTACGAGGTGGAGGCAAGCTGGTGGAACCCCCCCCCCCCCCCCCTTTTTTTTTTAGTTTAGCCGGATTTCTAATAATGAAATAATACATATGTTGCCGGGCCCCCGGCAACCTGTCCACCCTGCTTTCTTTGCTTGCAGTCCCCTCAAGATGTTTCATTCTGGCATCTGACGTCAGCGGTCGTCTTTGTTGGTCCACATTTGCTGCACCGAGCATGTTATGCACGCATGAGACACCTGCATCAGACCCTTTTACACTTTTCGGCATGACAAAACGAGCCCTGCTTTACAAGGCTTTCACATGAACTCTCAAGGTCAGATGCTGGGCGACCACATGTTGGACAGTCCATGGCACGACACCCTGTTTCCACTTTGACCACTGAGACTGAAAACATAGATTTTGCCAATACAAAGTGTAACACTTTGCAGAATTGTTCATCCTAAAGTGAATAAATGTTTTTTCTGTATTAATAATTTTGCCACAGATTGTCTCTCAGGGGATCCCCATGAATTCAAGAATGATCCATTCCCCGAGTGGGAAACAGTCGGCGATCCCTTATGGCAAGAAAGGCCAGGTGAGCTGACCGTTGTCATAATGTGAACCTATATTCTATCATGACTAAACCAAAATATGATCCCATCATTGCCAATCGTAGGACTACAGTCATTCACAAAAAGAACTGCACTTTTTTAATTTATTTTTTTATTTCTTTGATGCAAGAACTATAGCTAATCATTTCCATACAATAAGACATGCGTGCACGGGCAGAGGTACATTTACTGTAATGACTCGAGAATGTGCCAAATGTTAAACAGTACAAGTGACAACTGGTGCAGTCTGACTGAAATAATGTCACAAAGCAATAGAGCATGGGAAGTGAGTCTGAAAATGGCTTTTAATTACACCGCTGGCAGTTTGGTGCTCAGTCCCACGGGGACTTGCTCGGTTAAATAAAACTAAAGCTGTAGTTGCTTGTACAATTGCACTTTAACACAGATTATTTTCCTTTCAGTTCATCCTGTCAGTGGACCGAGCCAATCTGAACAAAGAGCTGCTAACGGGTAAGACCATTACTCCTCAACACAACGTCACAGGGTGTGCGCTGGATTAACCACATTATAGCCAATTTAAAGTGATGATTTAACAATCAAATGGTGCACATTTTCTACAAGAAAACGTTGCGAAATGTGTTGTAGTTTTTGTCCTTTTCAGACACGTAGCCCATTGCATAAATGTGGCGGCTATTTAAGATGTCTGTCTTTCAGCAATCTTGCGAAGGCCGTTTCTGAATTTAATGCCATCAGTTTTACATAAAGGCAGCAGCACAAAGTGAAACGCTCAGCCTACAAAGATGGAGAGAAAGAGACAGAAAAGGAAGAAATGAAATGCATCTTGTAATGATTCTGCCTTCTAACAACTCTGTAATATTGAGCAGATTCTTCTCATTTTAGATCCGGTTGTAAAAGACATTTCCCCTTCATGTGTGAGCATGATGAAAGAGGTTAAAGAAAATAACTCAATCACCCACAGTTATAATTTAACCGACAGTCTCTCCATATATTTATGATGTTGAGTCATGCGTGGACAAATCAATTAATGTCTATCAAAACACTTTTTATATTTATTTATACATAGCAAGCTATCAGGAGTCCCGACCTCGCTGGTATTATAGAAGAGGCGGCAGAATTTGCTCTCTATTAGCAGTAGAATGATGAAATTCATGCAGAACCTCCATCGCTGACTTTTACAAGGGAGATCAGATAACTTTTGCTGAACTTTCTGCTGCAGCCACAAGTAACAGCCACGGGGTGAATGTAGCTGAATGCTAAAATGTAGCAGTAGCGCATTTAGTCCACCTTCTCTTGTCACTGTCCTCCATTTCATACGAGGGTCCAAATACTGAGTGTGTACTTCATACACTAAACCCTATAATATTCCCTCAATGGAACCAAATAGTAGTGTCCACGGCATGCAAACCACGCCTTGAAGTGATGACGCAAAATGTGTCCCGAAATCTCACGATACAGTAGTAGTGAATACTAGTTTGCTAATATTAGCTAACATTAGCTGCCTATCAAAGACCAAGTCAGGATGTAGTAGCTCAACGCCTTAGTGTGCTGACTTAAACAACCGTGCCTTTTATTATAGTGAATTCAACTTTTTATTTCTAAGAGCACGAAGGTGTTCATTTTTCTGTCATAGATTTCAGACTGTATAGTATTACTTTAAAGAATCACTGATCCACTTTTACAAACAGCATATAATGCAGTATTGTATTACGTTGGATTCTATGAAAAGCCAATCAAGTTACTCTCAATACATTCTTCATTCAAGCACCATGCGTGGCGCTCCAAGTTCAAAGAAGAACTATTTCCTCCCAACAATTGTCCTAAATTAGGTGGTTTGCCAGCGAGCCCAGCCAGATTGACAGATGCTCCCAGTGCGTTAGCTTCTTTGAACCGTTTCATTACGCCAGGGCACGTCTGGGGGATGTGTTGGTCTTTTCAGGCTAAAAGGATTTTGCCTAATATTTAATGAAGTGCCTCAGTGCACAATCAGAGATAATGTGTGACAGCATGTCTTTAATCATGTGTGCTGAAAGAGGGGCCTATTGTAAAGCTGTCGCTCTTATCAGACTCCTGGGGTGAACATTGAGATAAAGAGATTTTGGGGAGTGTGACAACCTAAACATCGCTTTCCCCTAAAACGAGAAAGACTGACTGCTGTGATAGTGCTGTTCATGAGAGCTGTGCTAATCAGCAGAAAAGGTCGTTCCTCTTCAGCGGGGGATTGATCTAACTGTTTGCTGGCACCCTGTGTCCTTGCGGCATTTTATTGGAATCGTGAAAGGCTCGGTGTGCATTTTAACAAGATATTACCTGTCACATGAACCTGCTGGTGTTGACATTATGCTTGCATCTGTGATATAAGCTCCTTTTGTAACATGTTACTCACACAGAGGCAGAGACCTATCCAAACGCAAAGTTGAACTTTGACCACAAACTGCAGGACTGGAGTGCTGAAAAGGGGCTAATGACCTTTGCCAGGTAAATAGTTACACACGTACACGTCTGTATTCACAGCACGCGCTCTTTCTCTCTCACACACATTCACACGTTCATTTCTTGGAGACTTACCCCAATCGTTACCCCAACAGCTACTTGCTTAAATATAAACCTCAACCTAGACCTAAACCTAACTTTTCCAAAACCCTAATCTAACATAACCTTACCCTTACCTAACCTAACCCATATCCTAACCTTATATGTATATATTGTTGTGCTACTTATTCCAATTAGCCTGATGAACAATTATTTTATTAATTCATATTCATTTTATTAGGGTTATTTAAGTCATAGACATTACATAGTAATTTTACCATACCTCACTCACCTTATTCATTTAACTACCCCCTTCTGCCCCACCTGCAGCTGTGTCTGTGATCCTTTAAACCTTAAATACTTTTATATAGGATTTTATCCATCCATAATGGTTTTAATAAGGGACGTTCACGATTTCTTTAAATGTAAGGTCCCTGTGTGCCCGGGTTAGAGGATGTGCTCATTTTGATTCTTTGTCATAACTCTGAACATGTTGACACACGTGGCCTTGTACATGTGATCTGCCAGAGGTCTGGGATGGCGATAAACATGTTGACTTTGAAGACTCTGTGCTTGACTTTTTATTGGCTTTTTGTAATTGGTTGTCCTCGAGCTAAACGAGACACACAGTTTACAACCCAATTAACACCAAAACACCTCGGGTCTTTTTAGTTGTGGGAATTAGCCTATGACCATGCAGGGAATTATTAACACAGTATGCAGGGGCAGGGTTTTAATTTAATCGATTAGTTTTTAAATTGACTTCAGCCTTATCTAAAACGTGTACAAATCTGTTTGATGTGTATATTGTCATTGCTGTTATTTTATTTTATTTTCATGCCTGGCGGTGTGACGTGTACCCTGTTGAAACTGTGGATCAGAATGACTCACTGTGCAGTTATTGTCACAGTGATTAAACACTTTAATGCGCTTCAATTTGATCAAGTTTTACATAAAATCCAAAAGTCCCCCTGGCGTGCACTTAACACGGGACACATCCTTTCCTCTACCTTGTTTGAACTGTGAAAGCCCATATTTGCTGTCTCCAGCTAATAGTCTGGTCTATAATCAAACAATAATCTACCTTATTGCTGTAAATCTAATAACATGTTAATGGTGTTACACATGGTCGCTGAACACTAATCAACAATCTGTTAATTGTTTTGAGATCTTAAGGTGGAGGCACATGCATACAAGTTAATTGTCACCAAGCCTCACAACACTGCAAATGGGGTCAAGAATAATTAAATTAGTTGCACATAAAAACATCATTATGTCCTCTGCAAAGGATCATAAAATGGGATGATAGAGTGCCAAAATTGTATTCACATGTCGGTAACAGATGCACCCGCATTTTTCTCTTGGGTCATAAAGTGAGAGTCAGATCTCAGAGCCAACATTTAACTCCCATGTAACTCCAGGAGCTATGGCAGGAAGCCCCCTCCATGTGGCATAGCGCACTGTGTTCAGGGATGTGGGGAATACTGACTCCTGCTGTTTGGAGCAGCTTTTAGAGTCAATGAGCAGATGGACCAAACAGTATGCTGGGTGTGTTTTAAAGTGGCCATGAGATGCCATCATCTGTGACCACCATGGCTTTAAGTGAAATGACTTTGAATCAGAAAAAGCCAGATACCATCATGACCGTCATTTAAATTTAAAGTGTCAATGAAATATGTAGCTGTTATGATATTAATATTACGTTGGACATTAAAATGAATCCTCAAATTTTTTGTTTTAAGTTTTAAAATTAAAAAGGCCGAGTGTGAGAAATAAAAGCTCAAACACACAGCTCTGTGACCGAATCAAACCCGAAGCACACATAGCCTGAGGGCCCCACACATGTTCTCATGCTAAACATCCACAAAGACAGCACGACATTGCATCTAGGACCCTCAGACTATATATATGATATATCTATACTTTTCTCATGTTACTGGTATGTTTCTCAGGTCAGATGGGTCCGAAAAGCAGATCAATGCGGACCTGATTGTGGGCTGCGACGGAGCTTTCTCTGCCATCCGCAAGCAATTCCTCCGCCGCAGCCGCTTCAACTACAGCCAGACCTACATTCCCCACGGCTACATGGAGCTCACCATGCCCCCCATCAACGGAGAGGTCAGTCCCCTGCGCAGCACCGTCCTTTTATTGTGAAGTGGGTGTAGATGCTGCCAATGTTAGCCTCACAACTGTTGGGCACCATCGTAGATGTCCTCTTGTTCATTTGTCCTCAGTTTGCCATGAAGCCTAATTATCTGCACATCTGGCCCCGAAACACATTCATGATGATCGCCCTGCCCAACTTGGTGAGTGTGCATTTTGTTTTTTATTTTCCCCCTGTGTTTAAAGCTGCACCGATTCTCAAACTACGGTTGTAAAATGAGCAATGTGAGTTTCTGAGGGTATTACCTCACATTTCTTGGCAACCAGAAAGACAAAAGCATGATCACTTCAGACAATGTCAGGGCGTGATTGACCTCTGGGATGTCCTCATTATAGTTAGAGTTAATTAGCCTCATTTACAGATCTTCATAACCAGCAGGGACTAACTCAGCGCAAATCAGAGACTGCAAAACGTCTGCTGGACCTACTTTTCACACCGCAGTCGTGTCCTCCTTTTTCCATCTGTTATTGTCAGACTTCAGTGAGACCAGGTTAAGGCAGGCAGCAGACTTTGGAGTGCATTCACACCGCCACTGCCCTTGTTCCCAGGAGCGAATTAGGGTTGACAAGAAGGAGAAGAAGAAATAACGACAAACACATCCTTGCTCCTGTGGATACCATGGTAACAGAGACCGTGCTAAAAGGTCCTCATGGAGGACTTTGCGATGTTGATAGATAGCCCCTGCTAAGTTGGGCAGATAATGACACGCCCACGACCCTGCTGCACTTTCATCCATCAGTTGCATGGGTGGAGTTTGGCTGTTGCATTTGCTTTGAGGGTGGGAGGTTCTATGATGAGACCCATGGAAGGAATGAAAGACATGTGAAATGTCCCGTGTCTGCAACATACCACAGGATATACACCACATAATGCAGCATTTATGAGTGCAAGGGTTCATTCTTGACTTTGGGAACACATCTGCGATAAATGGCTCACTTATTTAACTATTTGCAAAACTTGGCATGTTATTTGAAAGCTGTAATCAATTGCTTTATCATTACAAACGTAATTATGCAGAAAAAGCAAAACGTTGCATTACTCGTTGCTTTACTTTCATTACTCGGCATGCTGCGTTAAAGGTGCCTCAGAACAACTCTGCATCCACACTTTTTAAACATTTTTAGAAATAGTAAAAGAGACATGATGGTTAAACCAGCAGTCAGCTTCCAATTAGTAGGGACTTACTGACTGTCAGGCAGCTAGTCTGCCTCTATGTAAATAAAGACGACTCGATTTAAAGGAGCAGTGTGTAGGATTTGCCAGCAGCTAGTGGTGAGGTTGCACATGGCAACATGTTGAACTAACTGCGGTGGCCGAATGTCCCCATCTAGAGCCAGTTTGGTTTGTCCAGTCTGGGCTAATGTTGAAACGTGGCAGCCGGCTCCTTGAAGAGGACACGCTGTAGATGTAAACGGCTCATTCCAAAGTAACTAAAACTAAATTCTTATTTTTAGGACATTATACACTAAAAGAAAACATACTTAATAATATCAAATTCCATTTCTGTGTCACAATAGATTCTTGAGCTACCAACACTGTGCACTGTGTTTGTTTTCTAATTCCAGGACAAGACATTTACCTGTACCCTCTTCATGCCCTTTGATGAGTTCGAGAAGATCACCACGGGCAACGAAGTCATCGACTTTTTCCAGACATACTTCCCCGACGCCGTACCACTGATAGGAGTGTGAGTGACTTCCTCACCTCAGCCCTCTCTGCCAAGCCGACCTAAAACAAAAACCACTCTCATTCCCCATCATCCAACATCAGCAACGTCCACAGCCGCGCGCTGTGAAGTGTGAAATTGCAGTCTCACAGTTACATGGGTTTGTTTTAATTTGAGACGCCCGAGGCCGTCACCCCCTCACCTCTTCTCTGGGGTGACTTTATATGCAGCGCTCAGGCACAAACATCTGTTTGGCTGTTTTAACTTTACCCTGGCAGACGGAGTGGGGTTGTTTTTAGTTTATTCAGACGTGACAGATGCTTTTGTAGCAGGCAAAAAACCCAGAGTCGGTTGTTGTAAAAATGAATAACGCAACACAAGTTTGCGATTGTTTTACTTCTGTCTGTTTGTGCTTCGCAGCGATGCTCTCAAGGAGGATTACTTCCGATTGCCTGGGCAGGCCATGGTGTCCATCAAGTGCTCCCCGTATCACATTGGAGACAAATGCGTCCTTATGGGCGACGCAGCCCACGCAGTGGTGCCTTTCTACGGGCAGGGGATGAACGCTGTAAGTAACACTCAAAGGAGGGGAAGAATAACAGCACATTGGAATTAAAGGGAGACTCATTCGTCCATTCATGCTTCACAGGGCTTCGAGGACTGCATTGTCTTTGGAGAAGTACTGGATCAGCTCAATGAGGATTTCAGTGAGTACTTTTTAAGGGAACAAGATTAAATGAGACAGAGAATGAATAAGAAAGCTGTTTTCGCCTTGTGTGTCTGCCAGGTGCTGTGCTGCCAGAGTACAGCAGGATGCGAGTTCCAGACGACCATGCGATTGCAGACCTGGCCATGTACAACTATATTGAAGTAATTTATCCTTGTACTTTAAATTGCATAGCTTCGTACAACATCGTAGTGGGGTTCAGGTATCTTTTGGAAATTGATTGATCCTACTGTTGGAGAGGTAGTGACTTCAACACAAAACATGACAGCAGTAAAATGAACAAGGTCCATTGTTTTAAATTGTAAGGTCAATGCATAGTGAGCATACGATGGGATAAATTCAATTAACTTATAAGAGAAATACGTAATTATAATCAAGATGACGGTCCGTTTCAGCGTTGTGGTTATCTGTCAGAAGTTGCCAATTATTTGACTTTTTTTACAATACACTCTTGTACTTGGTCGTTCTTGACTATGTATTTTAGCCGGATGAAGGATTTTAGTCATCGGATGTTCGGATCTTAAGTTATCTGAAAAACAAGTTAAGCAAACGAACAGTGTAGCGAAGAAGAGCTGGTTTTCATCACCGGGTTAGTTTTGGAGAGGAGACCTCTGCGGGTAATTTGGCTACTCCTAAAACTGCAGTGACGGCGATGGAGGTGAAGACAACAACTCCCATGATCCCCCGCTACTGCACAACGTCGCCAACCTCCGTCTCTTGTTATTGTTGTGATTGAGAGACTCCAAGCGGCAGAAAGTGACATGTTGTGCTTTTAACACTAGTTAGTAGAGCGATGATAATGATAAGTAATCTTTAAAGTTTGTATATGCGATGCATGGAAAGGCCATTCACAATCGGAAGAACGTCCGCTCTGGTTCTGGGTGTGCTTCCTCTAAATATCTGTAGAAATCACGCTCTCCATCACATCAAATCCATGCACTCGTCGTTATTCTGACAGATCTTAAAATTGCCGCACTTTGTTTTAGCTTAGCTGCAGAGTGGACGAGACCGTCTGAAGATTCTGATGCTGCTGTAAGATTTATTTTAGGACTTTACAATATGGAGGACAGATGGTTTAATTCACCAACGTGTGTACTTTACTTTTTCTGTTTCGTAGATGCGAGCCCACGTCAACTCCAAATGGTTCATTTTCCGAAAACATGTTGATAACCTCCTCCACGTCCTCATGCCAAAGACAATAATTCCCCTTTACACAATGGTAAGAGTCCTGATGAACTAAATTAGCACGGTCACGGTGCTCTGTTTACCGCAAAGTCTGTATCATCTGATGCCCGTCACTGTCTCCAGGTCACTTTCACCAGGACAAGGTACCATGAGGCTGTGGACCGCTGGCATTGGCAAGACAAAGTAAGACACTTTGAGGAAAATGCTTCTTCTTTAAACTCCTTCATTTCATTTTCTCTGCATACAATTGAGGTTTTTGAGAGATCTTTCATATCTTTGTACAGTTTAGTATTGTAATTCGAGCCTCTTTTATCAGCACCGAGCGTGAAAGGTGTTGGTAACTATTTCCTTTTTTTAGACTCATGTCCTCTAACACAAACGCATAGCTTTGCTGCACAAAGAGCTGTTTCTTAATTCTCACATTTGGCTGTTATGAGTCGCTTAGCCCTCCGGCGCTGTGTTGAACTGTCTGGATGGATTCTGCACTAATGGTCAGAAGCACAGCGGAGATTTCACAGCTTCCTCTGTAAATTATTAAAACCCATCGGGATCTCCGGGCAAAAGGACAAAATGACCTCTGTGTGGTGTGAAGAAAACGGTTATAATTGATAAGAAAAGAATTGGTGCGATATTGAGTCTGCTGCAGGATGGTCTGTGTCCTAGCTGAGCGTTAGGAGGATGTAGTTATAAGGTGAAAAAACAGATCCCCAATCAGCAGCTGTATGTATTGTAGGACAAAGTACAAGGCTTATATTACTTATTTATAAGCAAAGTAAGAGAAGATGTAAAAATGTTACATCACTCCACATTATCATATATTAATTATGTTAAACAAGTCAGATGTTTGTGATTCAACTTCTTAAAGCAGATTTTTTAGCCACGCTACTGGTGTGGGTCTGCAGATGGTCACATTCAACAACTTCAGGACAGATAGCATTGACATCTTCTACGGGTGTTCATGGTCCCCAGAGGATGACGCCTAGAGACTGTGGCGATCCCCTGACTCTCCCCCTATAGCGCCACCATGAGGTTGAGTTTGTCATTTTGATTGAAATGTCTCAACAACTAGCCGACTGGACGCATTGCCAAGAAATTTGGATCAGACGTCCATGTTGGGATGAATTGTAATCGGATCCATGAAATCCAAGTAAATATTTGTGTATTGTTGGAACCGTTATTCTCATCTTTTGTTGGTTTGTATGCATCGTATTGTATGACTGTAGGAGTTGTAGACAGATTTTTACATTTTTACATGTTCAGCTGACGCACTGCATAAAACATTGCATAGGTTACACCAGCATCTATTTGAGATTAATTTACTGGAAGTGTACAAATAAATAAAACCAATTTACAATTAGTCCTTTCAGGAAGCCTCATGATTATACAGCAACATGTCAGTTCCGTTCACCGAAATGATCTAAAATCTATGGAACCTATAAAATGAAACAAAAACCCTAAAGCAAAGCATGACGGGGCGTTTTCTTTGCAGTTGTGATGTGAGAGTGTTGTTCCTGTAAATTAATCCACAATGTGAAGGTTTAACAAATTAAAAAAAGAAATTGCATGCATACCGCTGCATTGTAGCTTCTTTTCTCTTTTTTTAAATGTATGTTTTGTTTTGTATTTTCACAGGTGATAAACCGTGGCTTGCTGTTCAGTGCAACAGGAGCTGTTTTGGGAGGCTCCTACCTGCTCATTAAAAACCCTCCTGATATCAGCAAGCTCATCATCCCCGCTGAGAAAATGTGGGACAGGCTCGTGGCGCTCTGGACCCACTGAGCACTGGCTCTGATCTGACAGACGAGTGCAAAGCAACACTAGAACTGAGGAGATCCACATTTTAATTAGAGTTTGATTGAATCCTCTAATGAACACGATGAGAGGCTCTGCCTGCCAAATGAATGTAGTGAAATAATGATCGTCTGAACTTATGCTAGACACGTTGATTGATTGTAGGAGTTCTTGACATTTTATCGCTATTTGACTGAAGGAGCCCAACAGATTGGATTGTTTACATGACATCCTCACCTTTTGCACAATTTGCATTGTGAAAACAAAAATGTCAGTATTAAACCCACTGGCCAAGGCCGGGGTACGTGCTGTACGAGTTTACATAGATGCTTACACATGAATTGCAAATGCATGTTCCCTCAGCTTATAGTTAGTCAGATTTGTATTTTGCCTTTGGCTCCATCTCTCTCATCCTGTTTATGCAGTGATTATTTTGGGGGCCAATATCCAGTCTGTCAACAAATTCTTACACCTGCAGTTTGTACTTTTTAAAAAGTACCAACCATCGCAACCCAGTTAACAATCAGCCATATCTTTAAAACGTGAGAAGAGTGAATTTGTTCATAAAATGAACATTCCTGTTTTACTGCCATCACCTTATATTATCTTTTATAGGTAAATTAGCCATTTCAAGAGATATGCACTTGATAAATCACAACTTTGTTTTGTGCAGGTGTTAATGAGAACATATTCACAAATACATGCTTTTGATGCACATGGACTCCGCCTAAATGCATTTAGTTTAGAGTTCACTTTGAGTTATTTTTATTTCCTGTCATCAGTAAGGAAATCAGTTAAATTGGCTACAATTATCAAAACAATACAAACATTCAGACTTCCTCATGCGGCCCAAGTGTGTACTGCAGAGATAAATGTTGAATAAAAGATGATGGAAGAAATTCTGCTAATTTATTTACCACCCCGGGGGTCTTTTGGGAATAAGGGGCAGTTGGGGGCAGCGTAAACAAGCCTGGAATACTACGGTGACACATCATCACCGAAAATGACTCGTTTCAATTTCAGAATTTGATCATCGGAAAGTCTGGAAGAGCCGCGCGATTGAATTATTTTATCCCCATTCAAGTTAGCATCGGGCTAACCCAGAAGTTAGCCGAGCTCGGCAGGCGGAAGTCTCTGGTGCGCATGCTCTGCCCCATAGAGCAACGTTCAGAGCATTCATTTTGAAAATAATTTAAATCTGCCGTGAAATGTGTGAAGCAGGAGCTGCTAGTGGGCATTAACATTCTATTTCTAGATACACTTCAAAGATAATATAGCCACAGTCTCCTGCGACTGTGGCTCTGTGGAGAGTCACGGTTGACTTTAAAAAGTACATGTCGCGTTGAGCCATTTTTAACCTGCGAAATACAGATTTTTTATACATTTGGAGGGAAATGTCAATAAAGACAACAGCATTGCTGTTTCATCACAGTCACATCATTTGGTTTACAGCTCTAAAGACATGTTTAATTGTGCAGTACCTCTTTAATAACACTTTATTTTATTTATATATTTTACTTTTGCTTCACAGAATAGATTGGGGACGCTTATTTTGAGTGATATTTAGTTAAAAGAAAAGCAAGAAACCAAACAAGAGATTTCTTCCGCATATTCTCCGTCACACGTCCTCACTGATTAAGGGTTTTATCAGCGATGGACATCCATTCATCACGTCTATTCATAGCCGACAGCCCAGGAGGTTATAAAAGGAGTGTCTCACTGCAGCACACCGAGGTCCCACTCTCATCTCCTCTTATCTACAGTCCTGTGGGTCCTCATACATATAAATCCACCAAATGTTATTTCACAGTGGCCGTTCCCATCACACTAGAGATTTGCGATTGAAATGAGATAAGGTACACAAGCTGGGTAGCTTAAAATAGGATCTCTTTATTGAATCCAATCACAACAATGTATTATTGTTCATGGCTAAGGAGCTAAGGCTTGTTTTCCATGCTACACTGCTGCAGTTGGGTACCAACCAAAAAGACATCCGCTATCACATGTCCATCCACTCGGGTCCCCAAAAACTCTGTTTGACAAATAAGTGTGATTCTTTATCTAAAGAGAAACATAGAACTCGTTGTTAACTACATCTGTATGTGCTTGTATCACCACAGCTGATGTAGAAGATGATGTCAAGCTTTCATACTACCTGCTGAGACAAAACACCATCAGGAAAAAGGTTGAGCTGAGATTCTCGGGCTGACAGTTGGATATTTACTACTAGTTGTAACATGTAACTGTGTGTGGATGCAGAAATGTCCCGGGAGGTTCAGACAGGATTATTTTTGGTTCGGTTTGGCATGTTGGGTCCTAAGGCATACTGAGTGGTGGGGCTGAGTAGTCCCGGTCCCTTGTGGATCACAACGGCCTCACTTGAAAGGCATTGACCTCCGAGGACTCTCGATTCTTGGAGGTGACGTCCAGGTGGTTAAAGTCATTGCTGGTGATGATGAAGACGATGGACGAGGAGCTGAAAGTCACCCTCTTCTTGGGCCGGTTCCTGCCGCCGCACGCCCCCGCGGACACCACGATCGGTCGGATGGGGCGCTGGACCAGAGCCAGGGGGCGCTCTTTGAGGCCGCACTGCAGCCAGGAGAACCGCGAGCAGAGCAGCTGCAGCAAACAGCGCCGGAACTGTGAGAGGGAGTAAGAGGATGAAATACCGCCCTGTCAAAAACACACAATATCAGTACACCAGCAAACTAAGACTAGTGTAAAAGATCATTTCATTCCTACGCACACAACACATATTAAATCTTGGGATACTATGATGCAGATTTCATTCTCATTTTTGAAGAATTTGTCTAAAAAACGACTTCTGGGTTGTTGAATTCTATATTATTTTGTTTAAAACCCCCCAAAAAATTCTCATAAAAATAAATCAATAAAAAAAAACTCCTGGTTTTTCTTACTCAAACCACAAACTGGAGCAGCGCAAGAGGAGAACAACCCCTCACGCCATTGCTTTACCCTTTAATACTGAGTTCAGCTGTGGTTACTGGTGGGGAAAAACAATCGACTGAACACAGAGGAAGTGGCCAATCAGAGAGCTCCAACAAACGTATTGTATTACAGACGCCGGCAAAACACGGGTCTGCTATGACGGTTGAACCTCGTCACTGACCTCATCCCCACCAGCAAGAGGAGGAGCACTGTGTACTGATGTCCTCATTGTTCGCAGGTCTTTAAGTTCACCACGAATAGAAAGAAAAAGTTATTCTCAAAAGAGCTTTAGGACTACCAACCTTTCTGCTCATGAACATGTAGATGAGGGGGTTGTAGGCCGTGCTGGACTTGGCAAAGAACGAGGGGATGATGGCCACCGTGGGCGAGACCATGTTCTTACTGCCGAAGGCCTCCAACATGGACACCACGGCATAGGGCGTCCAACACAACAAGAAGCAGGAGATCATCAGCAAAAACATAACGGCCACCTTCTTCTCGTACCGCAAGATCTTGATGATCTGAACCGTCTGGAGGTCCTGGATGGAGCGCAGCTACAAGAAACGGGGGAGATAAAGATGCTATCATGAGGGTCTAAACAGGCTGTTTTGGGACCAGATTGTTGCTGGTTTGGATCAAATGTCCAAAAGTCTGTTGATTTGAATGTGCATGTGATGATGTGTGGGAGACAAGCCAGCCCTACAGTACTAACATCATTTTGGTAGGATAGATGTTAGCATGATAGAAGCTTTTTCTGACCCCCAGGTTGGGAACAACTGACTTAGCTGACCTTTAATGCAATTTTTTTTTTAAATGACTGCAGCCAAATTCTGCAACACAAATTGTGAATTTTGCACTGTGATTTGGAACAAGGAACATACCAGGCTATACACACATTTATTTCTGCTGTAAAGTTGGCCACGGGGCTCTATGGGGATTGACTCGCTTTTGGAGGCAGCCTCAGGTGGCCGGAATTTGAGGAACTGCAGTTTTTGGCACTTCTGTGTTGGCTTCAATCCTCAGCAAACTACAGAAGTGGTAGTAGGGGAGGACACACCCTAAACAAACAACACTGCTGAACGGGAACTAGGAGAAATGTCCTTGTTATCTTTGTAATTTGAACATTGTCTAACTACATTGGAGATCAGAGAGAAACTGTCTCCTCTCTTTGCATGTGCTGTTTACTATGGAGATTCATATCATTTAAATTGAATTTAAATGATATGAATCTCCATAGTAAATTTATTTTGTATAGCCCAAAATCACAAATCAGCCTCAGAGGGCTTTACAATCTGTACACATGCAACGTGCTCTGTCCCGGGACCCTCACAGAGGAGCGATCCCTCTCCCAGGATGGACAGAAGTGCAACAGATGTCATGTGTACAGAACAATTATATAAAGACTACATAACCTTTGCTAAACCGAACCCTACTGTGTGTAGAAGTAACAATTATTGGATGATGCTAAATGTGAACATGCAGTTTAACAGTAGCATAAGTGAGGAAGAATCATTAAGTCAGTGAAGTGCAATACCGACCCACAGTTTTGCTAACATTAAGCTAGTGCTCATACTAGACCGATCTGTAGCAGAGTGTAATGAATTGGGAAACAGTGCATTTTATTGCTTATTTATTCGACTTTTCTTTTATAAAAGGGTTTTATAGAGTTTACATAGTATCGCTTTAAATCATTCATGAAAGCAGCTTTAGCAAAACAGAGACACCTGACATTGAGAATGTTTCTATTTAAGAGCATAAAACGGCTTCATGGTCTTCTCTATAACTCATTATTACCGTGGTCTTGGTAACATTGTAATGCCTCAGTAAATAGACCCGTGTCTGATGACGCCATGCAGTCAAAGTGGCGAACGTCTTCTAGACTCCCTCAAGACTTCTGATGGAATCACGGCAAGCGTCCATTTCTATTCATGAATTTAAAAGGTCTGCATTTATATTTGCTTTATATGAAGTTACAAATACTCTGTAAAGTTCAGAGCACTTCTCTCAGAGCGTCTCCCAAAACGCTGTGACGTGTACCGAGTTTGTTGGAGTGGAAGTTGTAGGAGGTCAAGACAGTTTTATCTGGTGAAGACCTGAGACCTGGAAGGGCTTGAAGTGGCACTCAAATTGTATGTGCTGAAAGGGAAACTTTGCTGATTTTCAACTGGGGCTGGAATTCTCTCTCTCTCTCTCTCTCTCTCTCTCTCTCTCTCTCTCTCTCTCTCTCTCTCTAATAGATTTAATAATAACACACTTAATACTTCTACAGGCTACATCTGCAATGTCAAGCAGCTCAAAAAGACCAAGATGGAGATAAATTAAATAAGTCATAACTATTCGTGGGGAAGGAGAACAATCGTCACTTTCTACAGACATCTTTAATGTTTCTTTGACCAAATTTTGGTCTAAAGATTTGGATCAGCGACCCACAATTTACAAGTCTTTGTAATTCACTCTATTAGTCGAACTAATAAATGATTTATCAAATATGCAAACAACTGAAAAGCATGACCTACCATTTGCACCGCGTAGAGGATGTTCCCGTAGCAGTAGATCATGATGCCCACAGGCACAAAGAAACAGGCCAGGAGGAAGAGGAGGATGAAGGAGGCATCGTTGGGGTCCTTAGAGGCCCAGTCCAGGGAGCAGCCCAGCCGGTGGATCTCCAGCGTGTAGCGGTTCCACCCGAGCAGAGGGGCGCCCGTCCAGACCAGGGAGTACAGCCAAATGTGGCCGATGGCCCGCCACGCCCAGGGGAAGTCCACCACCTGGGCATGGACCACCCGGATGTAGCGCTCGTAGGCCAGGGCCGCCAGCGTCATGATGGAGACGATGCCTGGCAGGAGAAGAAGGGGGAGAGGGAGTAATGCAGAGCGCTCGCTGCAGGATCTGGGTCAGTGGCTACTCAGCGCATCTTTGGACTGAATGAGTTTCATCGCTCTATGTACAAACACAAGTCTGAGCATCTTGGTGTTGAACGGCACATTCAAGCACTCCGTTATGAATCCTTAAAAACTCACAGAAAGAGACGCTTACCTCCCACACACACACACACACCTCTAAGACCTGCATTGCACAGCCTGCATTGATTCTGAAGGTGTATGCGTCTTCTATCAAATTGCTCTATTTTGTTTCCATATATGCAAGCCAGAGTCCAAGGTACAGCATCCAACACTGATTCTGCATCTGTTTGGTCAACGCACATCACACACACACACCCACGTAACCTACATATCTATACAATTACATACTCGGATGTCCTTTTAGTCTCCGTCTGTAATGTCATCTCTTGATTTAATGGGAGCAACACGGGGGAAAGTGTCAATGGGCAGACGCGCAAATTACAAACACACACTGTATTTGGTGACTTGTTTCGGGTTGTGCACTCAGCTTGAGCCACATTAACCCAGCTAGAGTTTCAGACGGACGTGCATTGACAGAGCTGCCAGGGTTCATTGCTGTGGCCCCTGTGTGTGTGTATGTGTGTGTGTGTGTGCGCGTGTGTGTGTGTCTGGCACACTGACACCAACCTCCTCTGAGTAACACATATGATGAGGCAGGAAGATGACGGCATGTCCGTCTGCTGCGCAGATAAATCTATGCGATTTGTTTATCAGGTGCCAATGCTGGGAAATTTGGCTTTTTCCACCTTTGTGATGTTAGTACCAATGGATAACTGGAGGACCTTGGGGTTTCACAAGTAAAAATGTCACTCGGTAAAAGTGGACAACTACTGTGAATGAGCAGGGGAGGAGCTGGGGAGTTCTGACGATGCGATGTCACCATAATAACTTCTGGTGCCAAAAGCAGCAGGACGCCACATCCTTTCTGCTCAATGTCATTTCAGCGACGAAGGGAGACATCCCTAGTCCTGAACACAGACGTCAACTTTGAATCTGGTCACAAGCAAAAGAGAAGCCAATGTCAACTACTAGAGGACAAGAGGACGATGGAAGGAGAGGGCAAACCGTCCACCCGCTCTGCGTAAGTGGCAACAGCTTGAGGGTTTGCTGCTCTAATGAGCTCATAATCTCACATCTGACCTCCCCTGGATTCCTACAAAGGGGGGGGGGGGGGACCTGGATGATGACCCTGGACAATCTCGTTACAGTGAAGTGTGAAGCTGGAAACAAAATCATTCCTCTGCATAAAGCAATGACATGCACAATGTGCTCATTTTACATAAAAAACAAACAAACACATACTGTCAGAGGAAATAGTATTTCATTGGAATGGATTCAGGGTCGTTTGGTTTTAGTGTAGCACATCACTGAATGAAAAGGTCAATAAATTGTATTTTAGCCATCCAAAAACTGAGAGAAAAAGTGTCCCCATTTAAAATATTGTGTTTATCTATCACCTATATTAACATTTGTTTTATAGAAATAATTTCTACGTGGAATATGCTTCATTCATGCGCTATATAGTGATCTGTACTGCCTCCCAACTAATTACATGATATCAAACTGCGTTTGCTCATTTTCTGAATTGTGTCAGAATATTATTCTACCTATAGTGAGAAATGAAATAGGGACACAGTTAAATAAATTCAATACAAAAGCTATTTTAGTAAAATGTTTGTGTGACAATATTGATAAATGTGAAAAACATGCTAGTATAATAAACACAATGCCCTCGCGTCATCTCTCTCACCAAACAAGCTGTTGCTGAAGCCGTCCCAGATGCATGTCGCCTGGCTCCAGATCCAACCGCCTTTGATGCACGAAGCAAACGTGAAGTTTATTCCGATGACAGAAACCAGCAGATCACTCAAACTTATGTTGACCAGTAACAAATTGGTGGGCGTCCTCAGTCTCTTGAATTTGCAGTAGAGTACGATGACAACAACGTTGTTGCAAAAGCCGAACACTCCGATGGTCCCGATGGCGAAAGCGAGAAGTTTGTAGGTGCCGGCTGAAAAAATGTGATGTTCCGTAGTTCTCTCCGCTCTGGTTTCGTTGGCAGGATTCATTGCGCGGATGCAAACTTGGTGCCCAGCATGGTGCTGTGCGTGCGGTGTGTTGAGCGCGCGCCTTGAACACGAGACACCGTCGGGTGTCCACGCCGCTCCTCCACGCGCTCCCCGCGCCGTCAATTCAAACCAGCCCGAGACTGCCGTTTGCTTGAAACTGGGTCAGTGTACAACTGTCACTCCGGAACGGATCGCAGACGTTGCATTTCCTTTCAATGTAAACTCGTTTTTGACCTGCGTGTTTGGCGACGAGCACGCGGGCCAAATTATAGAACTGCGTTGAAAATAAATACATAGAAGGGTTTTAATTGCATTTCATGCTATACACACATTATTGGTAATTCACACTTTTATTTTGAAGTCTGATTGATTGAATTTGACATACAGTGATGATTCGTAATTTTCAAATATATACTGTAATATATATATATATATATATATATATATATATATATCTCGAGACTGCCGTTTGCTTGAAACTGGGTCAGTGTACAACTGTCA